CCAGAGATTATATAGGAATAGTATATGGGAGACAGGGCACTGTAATAGAGGAACCACAAAACAGTTTCTGCAGTCTCAGTCCACAAAGGACAAGAGGACACACTGACAGTGGGAAGAGGTTAAGGACACTGGTTCTGGCATCAGACAGAGCAAGCTTCTGTCACTCACCCTTGATGAAGTTACTAACCTCTGTGGATCTGGTTGCTTGTCTGTAAAATGGACATGACAAGAGTACAAACACATGAATCCCTTTTTCTCAATTCCAAATCAAAATTCTAAGAAAACCGGAAGTTTTTTCATAACTTACTTGACCCAAAACCGACCTGAGAGAACCATTTATGCATTTACCCCATTGTATGTACGAATGTGAATGTATGAACATTCACATTATTTTGTCTCAGAAATATTAATGTGTTGGATTACAGGGTGATGATGGGGTAGGGTGCACTATAATTGTAAGCACTGTATTACCTTTCTAGAATCCGAACCTGTATTCCTAAATCTATGTGGGAGTCCCCGGGTGGTGAAAATGGTATTAACATGATCAACCGCTAACCCAAATGTCAGAGGTTTGAGTCCACCCAGAGGTGCCTCAGAAAAAAGGCCTGGCAATCTACTTCCAAAAAATCAGTCATTGAACATTCCTATGGAGCCAAGTTCTACTCTGACACACGTGGGTCAATGGCAACTGATTTTCTGAAAGGAATTAAAGACAGTGGAGAGTACAATGCACCTAGATGTTTTTCTGTCAAAAAACATTTTTTTAAAAAGACCAGACTTACTGGTATGACAGAGACTGGAGAAATCCTGAGAGTATCACCCCCAGACACCCTTTTAGCTCAGTAATGAAGTCACTCCTGAGGTTCACCCTTCAGCCAAAGATTAGACAGACCCATAAAACAAAATGAGACTAAAGGGGCACACCAGCCGAGGGGCAAGGACTAGAAGGCAGGAGGCGACAAGAAAGCTGGTAATAGGGAACCCAAGGTCGAGAAGGGGAGATGTTGACATGTCATGGGGTTGGTAACCAATGTCACGAAACAGTACGTGTACTAATTGTTTAATGAGAAGCTAGTTTGTCTTGTAAACCTTCATCTAAAGTCCAATAATTTAAAACAAAATTTTTTTTTAAAGGTTTTATTCTTAAAAGAGCAAATTTCAGTTACCTGGAAAATTAACATGGAATTTTTCATTCCCTGAAAATGCCAGATGACTGAGGTAAATCACAGTGCAACAAAATCATCCGTAGCAAAAACGGGAAAATTTTAAAATGTTTTAAAAAATGAACCTTCATAAGCTTAAGCAAAACATTTTAACTTGCCTTATCTTATTCCCCCTGCAGGTCTGTGGTCAGGTTTTAAGTCTACGCGAGTTTTAAAAGCCTAACAGCATGTAATATGGAAAAGACACCACCATGCTGTTCTCTGTAAGTGGTGCAAAAACAAACCTTTAGCAAGAAAAAGACCAACCGAAAAACAAACCAAACAAAACCAAAATGCCAGAAGGTGGAAATGTTGTCCTCCAAAAGTCTAAAGCAGTTGAATTTGAATCCTGTTTGGTAGCTCCTGGTTCAATGCGGTGCCCCCAGTCCAGCAAGCCTGCAAAATGGCGGTCTGCCGAGGCAAACCACTTCAGGTTGCACCTCTCACTGTGAAAGCAAGGAGTGTTCTTACAAATGTTGAACTCTGCCCCTTAGGGATCGGAGCTAAAACCTTCCACTCTTAGTCAGCCTGAGTCACCACTATAATTCTCATTAGCGGTACCTTGTTAGGGCTTTGCTTCTAAGACTATCCCTCAGGAACAAGTGTCTGTGAATCGAGGCCTTTGTTCTCAGAGTAACTTCAACCACCTTCTTCTGCCCGGTTAGGAGAGCTGCTCAACTCGGTCACAGTAAAACTCTGATGTCTGAAGATGTGCAGGAGCCCCTGGGTGCTGCAAAAGGTTAACGTGCTTTGCTGCTACCCGGAAGACTGGAGTTTCCAGTCCACCCAAAGGTGCCTCAGAAGAAAGGCCTGGTGATCTACTTCTGAAAAATCAGCCATTGAAAACCCTACAGAGCACGGTTCTAATCTGACACACATGAAGTCACCACGAGTTGAAGTTCAATCAGTTGGTTAAGGATGTGCAGTCAGTTCACTAACCATCAGTGTGGAAACCCTAACTCTGAGCCTCCTGACTCTGCCATAAAATCTGAAACCACATTTAACACTGAATGAACATGGTTTAATAGATGATTTCTTCCATCTGTCCAGAAACAAAGCCTTGTTTTCATTTATCTGGGAATGACCAACAGGCTTCTGGGGGTGGCGTTTTGTCCTCAGTAGTACCAGGCTTTTTCTTGTTTGCTACAGGATGTTCCTAAAACTTGACCTAATAGGTGTTTAAGAAGTATTTGTTTAAACCAAAATCTTCTGGAGTAAAAAAGCATCCAACTGACATTCTTCAAGTGAGAAGCTATCCTAAGGAAAGCTCTGCTTGATGCCTGGTGGTTGGTCCTGAGGTCTCACTCCACCCTGTGGTTTGTCCTGCTGGTGTCTCACTCCCTGTCGCTGTGGCTGTTGGCCCCTGGGAGGGGGAAGGGCACTTGCTCTGCCTGAGTTTTCCTTCCTGGAACCCTTAGGATCAAACGTCTGCAGCATTCTGTCTTTGACTCTTAGACCCTACTGCTGACTCATTCATTCTCTTGCTACTTTCCAGGGATTAAAAAAAAAAAAAAAATCTCCCTAGCCCAGTTCGTACTTTCTACCACGACACAGGCAATGGCCAGGGGAGCAAGTATGGCTGTTTCTTTTACAAAAGGCTGTGGAGTTGAGATTTGCAAATGACCAACTGACCTAAATCTAGGGAGACATGCTGGGCCATTAAAAACCATTTGGGCATGAGGTGGGACTCACCTAAACAGAGTCCCAAAATTTATTGTTAAATTCTCAAAACCCAAATACCTCACAAGTACCTTCGTGAGCATGTATGCGTATTTTGCCAAGTTCAAGTCAAATAAAAGCATGACATTTATGAGTTTGTCTTCTCTCAAAGTACTGTAAACTTTCTTAATTGCGAAATGTTCTTCCCTACTCACAATGTGGCGTTAATGGGGAGGCTCCCTGCCTGAAGGCAGAGAGAGACAAGGGAAGCATGCAGAAGACTAGACCAACAGGCGAGTGGGTATTTGCATGTATGTACTGCTTTCAGTCCATAGTAGGGATACACATACCAGAAAATAAGAGACAATCTGTGACTTATTTAAGTTTTCCAGAGATTCTAAGATGCCAAAACCTCAAGCAAGTTAATCTGCGTGAAACTGAGGGGCAAAGAGCCATGAGGTGGAGCCGGCTTCAACGCCCCTTTCCCGTTTTGGTTGGGATCTGCCATGCTGTGCCGCCACTTGTCAGTCTGTCATACTATGGTGGCTTCCACGTTGCTGTGGCGCAGGACCAGGCAATGTTTCTTTCTGTTGTACACAGGGTCGTTACGAGTATGTTAGGTGACTTGACAGCATCTGACAATGACAGCGATGCTGTACAGACTGCACAGAATTCTGGACTGCTACAAGTCAGGGGCCTTGGGCTCCAAGTCTGCCCATGCCCCTTAGGAGACAGGGAGTTTGGGTAAATCACTTTCTCTGATGCTTTGTTCTATTTTGTGTACATCCAAGATTCCAGCATCCATTTTTCCTGGCCTATGTGAGATCAAATAGGACAACTTTTGTGAGAACACTTGTGCTCATTTTTCTCTGGACGAAAGGCAGCCCTGTGGGAATACTTTCTCTGCAGGCCAAATACCTAAGGTCCTAGCTGAGAATGTCCTTTCCCTGGGGAGAGTTAAACATTCTAGAGTCCATCCCCCGTGCTAATTCCTATCTGGGGCCCACATGATTCTGTCCCCTGCTGCCAAAAGCTCAAAGAAAACCAAAATAACAATGGAAACAGCAGTTTAAAACAGAAGAGTCTTTTCTACCATTATGACAGGGCTGCTGTTAAAATCAGCCTGGGTGAGAAAGTGAGGGGCAGCAGGACCCAAAGCACCTCACTGCAGGCTGCCCAGAAGCTGGGTAGCTCCAAAAGGTAAGGGCATCCAAGAATACTGAATACCGTTTTTTGTACCAACTTCTTTATAATTGCTTAGGTGAGGAATCTCAGAACAACTTTTCTTACAAATACCAATATCAATCGGCGAATGCCCTAAGTTGGCCGTTTGCTTCGGTGCTACACAGTACCTATGCCGGTACATCCAGAATGAGGCATGCATGAAGGAGCCGAGTTGATACCTGAGGGTATGGCTGATGCTGCTCACAGAGGCTTGCAGGAGGAAGCATCAACGCGCAGAGCTGGTCCAGAGTGCTGCCTTCTGGCTGTGGGAGACCACCTTTGCCTGCTTTCAGCTGTGTCCCAGCATTTCAGGGGTGGGTGAGATGGCTTGAAACTGAGTTTCTGGATATCCCATGGCTGTGTGAGTCCAGCCACTTACAGATGTTTGGGGCTCCGAATAGCGTCTCAGCCGCTCCAGGAAAAGGCTGGACCTTACTCAGCTCACTGTCCAGGAAGCCACCCCGAGAAGTAGACGTTCAAAAAAGAGGTGTGGATCTGTAAAAATGTAAAGATGCTCTTGATCTGCCAGTCCTAGGAAGGTCTTGATGGCTTCTTCAACCTGGGTTTCTTTCTGTTGTCTTGGTAGTTCTAATGAAGTCAATCTTCCAGACCTTACCACTCTCCTCCTGGATTAGAACTAAATTTTCCCCGTTTCTGTGTGATTCCTGTCTTTTGAGTTTCTTCTGATTCCGCAAGACCATACTTTGGGCAAAAAATATGGCAAAAGACCTAAGTTTAAACAATTACTTTTCAAGTAATAACTACAACATCAACAACACCAAGACTTCTATGCAGTTCAAGCCAGACTTGAAGTATATATCAAAGATATAAAAATTCCATCTGTGAAAACCTTGGCAGTGAAAAGAAGTAGATGCCCATTGACTTTCGTAAGTAAGGTCTACTTATGCAATCACCGTTTTTTTTTTTTTTTAAATCCAATTCAACATCTAATGTTTTGGATTTCTCTAAAGAGAAAACTGAAGGGCAACACAGAGTTGAGCTATCAGGCACCAAACAGGAATTTTAACTCCCTGGGGCAGGCACTTCCTCCCTTGAGATGTTTAGTAAACACATGTCATACTCGTGCCAAAATGATTTTTCTCTTCTACTCCAAAGCTCTATCACTTTTTAAAAATCCTTAAAAAGAATACACAGGAACTGAGCTATGACTACTTTAAAAATGAAAAGAATTTACATTTCTATGCTGACCCTCCCCCTGATTCAGCAAACATCCTAAGTTATTTCTTCTTCACCGGAGTCCCAGGGTGGTAAAAACAGTTTATGCACTTGGTTGCTAACCAAAAGGTTGGAGGGTTCAGTTTCACCCAGAGGCATCTCGGAAGAAAGGCCTGGTGATCTACTGTCAAAACATCAGCGATTGAAAACCCTCTGGAGCAGAGTTGTACTCTGACACAAATGGGGTAGCCATGAGTTGGAGTAGACTTCAAGGTAACTGGTTTTAGTTTACTATACACCAAGCACCAAGCTGGGTGGTAGAGGGAAAAAGGTTGCTCTGGGGCAAGAGGTGTGGAGACGGCATGAGATAAGGCAGACTCCTACATGTGCCACGTGAGGTGTGGAATCAAAGCTCTCAGAAGAGACAACAGTGACGCCACTGTCCAGATCCTACAGATGCAGCTCTCTGATGGATCGCCACCTTCCCCTCTTCAAAGCCACCCAGTATCAGATGCTCTAACATTCAAAGTCTGGTCCACTGTGTCAGTCCCTAAGGCTAGCTGTGTGTGTCTTATTTGGGCTAACCACTGCCCCCTTCCACCTAAATGCCACAAGTTTTCCCGTGTGGTACAGATACACTGAACACAGTAGTACCTTTCTCAGACCTGCTTTTCCCTTTGGCTTTCTAAGTTTCTGGAACCATATAGGAACTTGGGTTGTGGAAGAGCTGAGGTGATCAATGCAGAGGTGACCAACACGTAAAAGAAGCCAGCACAGTGCTCTGAACAGAGCAGATACTAATTGTTATTTCCACCCCCAGCCATCCTGCCCCAAGATGTATCTTTGAGATCACTTAGCCTTGTATTTACTATGAGTTTTAATTTTTCCGCTGGCTTGAACGGACTTACTAGCAACACTCATAACACACCTGAGGTGCTGCCTCCAACTCATAAGCACTGCTCAACTCTAACCTACTCAGGACCTACAGGGTCAGTTATCTCTTCCAGCTCATCACTGAACCTGGACCTCAACGGTGCTCCCAATCCCCGCTGCCCACCTACCCAATGCATCCTTATGTCAGTTTTTTAGAGTTCCAGGAATTCAGAATTTAAGTTCCTCTTTATACTGAATCTTCACACATCTAAAAAACAGCAGCCAAAAGGACCTGGTGCTTTCAAAGGCTTTGGTATGTTACGTTGGAAATGTGTCCTAAACCCAAAAAGCTGGAAATGGTATCCCACGGGCCAGCTCAATAGCAGAGCTGATCCAACAGAACTTTCTGCAATGATGGAAATGTTCTGCGCATGTGTGCTGTCAAATACAGGCTTTGGCCATATGTTGCTACTGAACATGTGAAATAGTGACTGATGAGCTGAATTTCTAAATTAATAAAGTTAAATTTAAATAGCCACAAATACCAAGTGGTAACCATACTGGACAGCCCAATTCTAAAGCATCGAGGTTTTGAGTAGCATGACAACATTTTGAAAGACAGTATTTTCTCAAATGAAACAGCTACTCAACGAGTATTTGGCAGCAACTTCCATCATCGATAACGTCTATCTCCTATCCCTTCTAGCTGCTCTCCAGTGAAAACAAAACAGCAACAATAAAAAACCCACATTGCTTTAACACCAGTCTCCCTCGAATAAAACACATCATTTTAAATACACAGGCACTGCAAGGCCAAAGGTTAAAAAAAAACCTAAAGCCACCAAAACAAAGAATTAGAAAAATAAGCGTACTAGAAGTTATTTATGTTTAATGCTTAAAAGTCTGAATGCAACAAACAATCTACCATTATAGAAGTACTGGTGGTCAATACAATGCATTAGAACTATGTACAATGCACAGTTTAGTATCAAAATCTTTCTACACTGTAGAGTTTTACGAAACTGTTAATGACATCAAACACTGAGCACTTAAGACACCATTTTTTTTTTCTGCTACCACATTAGGAACGTCAATGGACAGTCCATTTCAACTTGCAGCATCCATCCATTTCTAGTATGAAATTAAGTACTTTTCTACTTATACAATAAAGTTTATCTACACGGTTCTTTTGATTTTGATCCATAGCAGCAAAGGCACTGTACATCAGCAGATCCACAGACTTAAAAGGTTTTTTAAAGCATTCAAACAAAAAAATAATTAAAAAAAGGAGTCACATATCATAGTTTAACAGCAACAACAACAACAGAAAAGATAACACGATGTTTCTGGCACAACGGCACTGCCTGTGTCCGTATCAGGGACATCCAATTAAGACACGGAAAGAACCGGAGATAAAGCAAGCAAGTCCTCATCCCAGGTGAGAGTCCATTCTTCCTGTTTTTCAGAGGGAGGTCCTTGCAAGTCCTCCTCTGCTCCCCTTCTTTTGTAAAAGACTGGGCTTGCACAGTGGTAGGAATCGTCCCCCTTATCTGCGCAGTTCCCAAAGAACATGCCAAAAAATAGCCCCTAATTTCTTATAACGACAAAACTGCCCAAAGATACACATCTCCCTTGGCAAAGAAACATGGCAAAAATATCCAGCAGGGATTAAGTTGTCTCTTGGAGGCCAATTAATTTGTTCATCTGTCTATAATACAATAAAAAAAGGAATTAAAAACATATTACAAAGACACTTGTCAGTAAGAGAAGAAAAAATAAAAGAAAAATCCAATTATTTTTAGAGAATACGACTAAAGCTATAGATATACGGTTAAACTTGTCCAAACAGATGCAAATGAATATGACTTGACCTGTCATGTTCTAATTGTTCAGCCAAGTTCCCAAACTTCTTTAAAATAAGTAAAAAAAAAAAGGTAAAAACAAAAAAACCTAAAAATTTAACATCACAGCAACATATTGCTTCATGTGTAATTATACATTTCACATCTCTATACAGCCATTAGTCTACATTTAGTGACATTTTTTAACCAATCCTTTTAAACCTTCCTTTCCCCTCCTTTGCCAAAAAAAGGGGGGAGGAAGGGTATCAAATATGACGCATCTTCATTATCAATGCAGGAGCAGACAGCTTTATTTAGTCAGTCATTGTTAGAAAGCCTTCTTTAAACAAAATAAATATATTACAGATATAATACATAATTAAAGATTCCGTTCACTGTTAAGTATGCCTATCCCATGTTCTTCCAAGTAGATAGCTGAAGATTTGGTATCACAGGTTCTTAATGAGTATTCACAATTCAATAGCAAGTAGGAAGTGAGGTTAAGGAAGGGGATTAAACTCCACAACTGCAATGAGCATTTGGAATCCTTGGTTTTAGATGAGGGCAGGAAAAAGGATGACAGAACAAAGTGCTACAAGGAGGAGTCCAGTTCGCATGAAGATCTGTCCTTAATAAATAACTTCATAGACCGTGGCCTTCTTATCCCCAGAGCCAGTGACAATGTATTTGTCATCCACAGAGATGTCACAGCTAAGCACCGATGAGGATTCTTTGGACTACGAAAGAAACACATGAAGAAAAACGTTGAATACGAAAAGAAAAATCCATAAGTACCGAGAAGCAGGACTGGAAGACTTGGAGCAAAAACACACTTCACACACTCCATTGACCAAATATGAGCCCCAAACGGGGAAAGGTAGTGGCGGTGCGTCCCTGAAATGGCAGAGCTGGGTCCACTAGCAGGTGCGCCTCACCGTATAGTCTGACTCACCAGACAGGACCACACTGACCCTGGAGTCTCCTGCTCTGGGACATGGGGCAGGTGAGAAAGCAAGCGGTAAGAGCCCCTCTACTGGTTCAAGCAAGGCCCTATTTCAACTTCTTTTCTCCAGAAGTTACAAGTGGGGTGTTTTTTAGTATGAAAAACCCTCAGCTGGAGTCAGAGGCCTTTAATTTAGGTCTAACTGTGAAACTCCCAACAGACCACTTGGCCTCTCTGAGCCTCAGTTTCCTTATAAAGGTAAATAGCTAAAGACATTTACCTGCCTACCACCTCAGAGGGTTGCTGCAGAGTTTAAGTGAGGTAATATATGAGAAACGGCATTTAAAACACTATCATTTTTGAAATAGGAATACAAAATTATTCCTAGTAAAAAGACCAACTTCCCTGTGTGAAAACAGAACACAAACTTGCAAGAGGGGAGGGCCTCAGTAGTTAAAAAAATGTACTGTGCACTTAGAATTCTGGATACCATGTTCAAGTACAATAAATACAACGGTTCAATGGTAATTTAACCAAACTGTGCTCATAAAAAAGAAATCACAATTCAGTACTCTTTATCAAATAATTATTTTCGATAGTGAATCCAAAGGACTATTCCTACAACAGTAAAGAAGAAAGCAGTTAGTACAAAAACAATGTTTAAATGAATTTTTTTTTAAAAAAAGGAACACAGATGAGCTAAAAAAGAATCACAGGATTTTACCCAGGACTCTGAATAATACTTTTTAAAAAAAGAGCATGACATGTAGCTGCTTAACCCAGCACCACTGTTTTTCAAACTTTTTTGATTGCAACCAATACGAAAAAATACATTTTACTTCATAACCCTGTATACTTAACATTTAATATTATACCTACTATAAAAGGTGCATACTAACACTTATTTCATTTTTAAAAAAATGCTGGTTGGGATAGTCTGAAAGGCTGTGATCCACAACAGGAAAAACAGCACACTCAACTCAAGCTTCCTGAGGGCAGGAATCATCAGCTATTTTTGCCCTACCGATCATCTTACATGATATTTTCACTCAATATATAGCTTCTGTCTACAACTTGGCCCTTCTACAAATAATTTCACAAACTACACCAAGTTCCATTAAATCAGTAGAAATACAATTTATAAAATCAAGCAAAATTTACTGATTTTTTCCAGCTATCATTCTTCTTTAAAAAAACTATTCAAAAAATACTACAAAGAATATTTAAACAAATGGTTCAAGTTTGAAACATAAAAATTCAAAAAAGACCAAAAAAAAAAAAGCCAACCAAAACACAGAAGACACAAAACTTTAGCAAGTGGTAAGGGACCCAGGGATAAGCAGCTGGTGAACAGCGCAACGGAAGAACTGGAGGTGAACCCCAGCTCTGTGACGTGGTGGCCGTGACACTTAACCTCCCCCAGGCCCAGTTTTCTTCTCTGCACAATGTGAGTAACTCTAGGTCTGCATAACTCACCCGAGAAGACGCACCAAGAGCTGGTGAATCTGACCCACAGTGAGCCCGCAATACAAGGCACCTGAACAAGCAAATGTTACCTGGAATATACTGGCCCCATAAGGTGTTCTCCAGGCGTTCAGAAGGTTGTCCTTTCCAGTGCTTACAAACCACTTACCTACAGGAAGAAGGTTTCAAATTAGATATGTCTGTGTTACTTTGTCAGATACCTGAGATTGGCTCTACAGAGCATCAAAATATTTACAGAAAATGCGTTTGTAACAGAGCTTTCTTTCACTTCAAAATAGAAGCCAGCCCTCCTAGATGTAATGAGTCATTTGTACTTAAGACAATGACAAAGTGGATACATGCCAGAAAATTACACGGCATTAGGAAGAAAGCATGTGTAAGGAAATGATGCTATTCAGAAGAAGGACACATGAATGAACTAAAGCAACTGACTCGGAAAGAATCCTAACGAGGGGGTGGAAAGGAGGAACAACTTTGGCTGACAGAAAATGAACAGGAGGGGCTTACTTACCACAGTGGGCAAACTTGAGCGACAGCACACAGCTCTCGTGAAGATGTAACTGGTATTTGTCGGGCTTGGTGACATGTAGCACTTCCACGTTACTGTTCTCCATTCCCACGGCGAGCCACTCTCCAGTAGGGCAGTAGCCGAGAGAGAAGATCTAGAATTACAACAGGTAATAGTGATGCTGGCTACAGAGGACACGGTCGCTTTAGCCAGAGGCAAACAGATCTTCTGGGGTACTATTTAAATTATGAAGGCAATCAAGACAATTTGAATTGTAAAGGAAGAAACTAAAGCCCAAAGGGAACGGGACAGATCTCCATAAAATAATTTACTAATCAATTATGTAAAATCCAAATATACATACAGTAATGGTCTTTGAAATAAAAACCTTCTAAAAGCTTACAATAAATGAGGTTTCTATCCTTTAATAAAATATAAAATATATTTTATACTTAATAAAATATATTAATATAACTATATCAATATCCTTAAATAATACAAAGTTTGGACAGAAAATCAGATTTTCATAGTCATCTAATATGACTTCGTCACACGCGGCACATCAACTGCCCTTTAATTGCTGCCTTTTAGCACATCGTATATTCCACAAAATCCATCTTCTAAAACATCACAGGTGCGCGGACCAAACCTGGGACGTGAAGTCGTGCTGCTGTAGCTGTCGCCCCTCACGTAGGTCCCAGGATCTGACCGTGTTGTCCAAACCGCCAGTCCAGAGCTTGGTGCCATCGTTAGAAATGTCAATACAGCTGGCTCCATCTGTGTGGCCCTGGAACTGCCTGAAAGGGTCAAAATGGGACGGAAGTCCTTGAAAAGTCAGTTTTCAGTTGTACTCAATTTAGCCTTCCTCGATCAATTTCATCGCAGGCCATATTTGAAGATCATTTTGGTTTTTTTGTTTTCTAAGTATTCATAATAGAGAAGTTCTGAATTAAAGTTTAACTGATATGCTGAATTTCCTGTGTTTTTCTTCCTTTTTGAATAGTTGGGTAGTTCTTCAAATTACTCTGACACCAAAAACCTGAATGTTACCACTGACGGAAAAACAGCTCCAACCGAAATAAACCAATGAAAACACACACCTACAAGTACATGAGCTAACCAAAGATACATTCTGAGGCCTGTTCTCTCACTATGCTATGGAAGGGAAGACAGTTCAAGAAAGGTAAGGAGTATTTTCTCTTCCACACAGCAGCAGGTAGGCCCGGGGAGCTGTAGAACAAATCATGCCAGCGAGCAGCAACTGTGGGCAGCTGTGCACCGCAGAAAGGCCAGGACCCCAAATTCAGGTACGTGGAAGGAAATTCAGTGATACAGCCACCCCAGGAATCACTCCTGGGAAAAGGTACAAAAGACACTGTGGGAGCTGACGGGGTTAGGGGCAGCTCTCCACGGGAGCCTTTCTGAAAGGGAGAAGAAAAGTGACGATTATTTTGTTTTTAGAATCTATATATATGTATCCACACAGAGAGAGAGAGAAAGTTCAGTCCTACACAGTATCTTGCAGACAGACAGTACAGGCCTCTTCCCTTTACACCCTCACCTTGACCGGACATTAGATTTGACTACAGTCTTCTCACACCCTCCTTACCTAATCACACCTCTTGCTTCCTGCTCTCTTATGTACTGACTCCTTACAGGGCTTTACCTACCAGTATCAATCCTATTCAATCTCATTTCTAACAGACATCACAGTTAGGTTTATATATCCTTTATGGTGGGGCGACAGGTAATCTAGACCATTTTCAGGGTGAGCGGCACCCAACACAGTGCCTGGGCCCATCGCAGGTGCTCAGTTAAGTATTTGTTAAATGAATGACCATGCTGATACACACGGCACATAGGACAGTGCCACACACTGAGAATCTTCTCAATAATTAGGTATCGACAACAATGACGTCAGGAAGCAGAGATGGTACACTACAGGCACCTCAGAAAAGGCTGGCAATCTCCTTCCAAAAAATCAGCCACTGAAAACCCTATGGAGCACAGCTGGGGTTTCTGTGACTTGGACTCAACTCGATGGCCACTGGTTTTAACAAGCCCATGAGGTCACGGGAACCTTACATATGTTAATTATGTCAAACTGACCTCATTTTTTCAAACCACATTGAAGACGCTTAGAATGTCTGAAAAAACCTCCGTTTTATAAAGTTCAAATCATTCAGAAAACAAGATTTTACATTTATAATTTGTTTCTAGCACATTAAAAAGGACCTGCTCGTAACAAATTAAGAACCAGATAATCGTATTTCATCTCTTAGACAAGCACACACACAGCACCACGACACCCTGCGGTAGAAGCTGCCCCTCCTCTCAACCTGGGAATAGGGCTGCCGACCCACCTCACCAGCGTCTGGTTGTGCAGGTCCCACACGGCGATGTTGCCGTCGCTGCAGCACGAGAAGCAGACCTTGGAGTCGGGGCTGATGGCCAGGGCGTAGCAGGCAGGAGCCGAGGACGTCAACTCCGCCTTGATCCGCGGAGTCGGAGCCGCCAGGTCCCAAATGGATAGAGTACTGGCTTCCCCTCCAACAATTAGGGTGCGTCCATCAGGGAGCAATCTGCAGGAACGGATGTAGTTATCCCTGTTCTGTGAAGACAAAAAACATCAAGAGATTACTCATGAGGAAAGGAAAACAGCATTAACATGAGAGCAGAGATCCATAAAAGTATTGTGTTCCCTCCTGGTTTTAATGAGCCATTTATGCTTATGACAATGATAAAGTGGATTAATACCAGAAAATTACATGAAATTAGGGAAGTACTTAAACTTGATCTTCAAAATTTAGTACTGAGATATTTAATCTTAATTAGCATCCAAATGCAAAGATCTAGACCCACCCCCCACAACTAGCATCAAATTAAAAGCTTTGTTTAGTCATCAACTGCCAGAGGCATCTGCACACAGACACACATGTACACTAACGCAGGCACTCCCACAGTCATGGAAGCTCAAAACGGGGGACGTTGGTCTACTCGACTCTGTTGTGGAAAGTTACGCTACTGCTGCCAAGAAGATGTCAGGAGGTTAAAGACCTCTGGAGTCTGTTCCTTCTGCATGGCATTGCCTGACCTGACTGAAAGGCACTGTGGGTTTGATTAGATCTGCATCAAATGGAGGCAAGACTTAATCAAGGAGTGTTAAGTGACAGGGAAAAAAAAAATTCCTCCCAACAATATTCTACTGCTGGTATAAGAAAACCAAACTGAAATTTCCTAAATAACTCAAGGACAAATATTAACAAAAACAGCTAAGAGAATATCTAGGGTTCGTCAGGTGAAGTATAGGGTAGATTATAGTTCTTAGTACACGCTCACAGACACCAGTATATGGGCTCTCAGTTTTCTTAAATCCCTGTAACAGATTTAGTCTAGGAAAGGGAGACCCTGGGTGGTGCAAACAATTAATTGCTAATCAAAAGGCTGGATGTTTGAATCCATCCAGAGGTGCCTCAAAAGAAAGCCTGGCAATCTACTTCCTAAAAGTCAGCCCTTGCAAACCCCATGGAGCCCAGTTCTACTCTGACACACATGGGGTTGCCATGAGTTGGAACTTACTCCATGGTAACTGGTTTAGTCTAGGAAGACAAGCGGCTTCCTTTTCCCACTCATGGGGCAAGTTAATGAAAACTGTTCTGGAGCATGTACTGCGCATGAAGAACTGGGTCACTGCCTGAACGAGCCGGAAGAAGACAGTCCTCCTCCTCGGCCCTTTAAATCTCCAAGTGAAAAACCACAAACCACCAAGACCAACTACCAACTTGTGACCAGCACTGTGGTGTTGCTCTTACATACTGTTCTCTCACCGACACCTCCCCTTCCTTCCTCCCACCTCTCTCTCTTCCTCTCTTCTGAAGGAAGGAGTGAGTTTGTGTATTCTTGCTCACTCACCAGGCAGTCGAGCTGAGAGACAGGACTCTTGTTGCCAGGGTGGCTGATGTCCCAGACCTTGACGCAGCCCTTCCCACCCGTGTACACGTGCCGCGTGGGGTTGCTGATGGTAACAGCACACACCACTTCCCCATGGTTCAGGGTGTTGATCTGGCGAGCATGTCGGGGGATTCCAGGTCCAATGAGGGCGTCGGGGGGGAAGGGGACAGGCTGCATCTGACCGTCTGCACTAACATGGAAGGAATATGCTCTAAGGCAGTGGAGAGGAGAAAAAGAGAGGAAAAGGGAATGTAAAAAAGTTACTTAACTGTTCAGTGTAACGAGATGAAAAATAAAACTTTGTCAGTGCCACTGATGACCTGTAATCAAGAAGTTACCTAGCACAGTGGAAAGAACACAATTTTCATAGTCAGGGAGATAGAGGCTCACTCTCCTAGCTGCTGTGTGACATCAGTAGTTACTTAACATCTACAAACCTTAGTTCTAATCTCTAAAATGGGGAGACTGCCAGCTACACCTAGAGCTCTGGTGACAAAGAAGATAAGCTGTGACAAGTACAGGACCTACTACTTCAGAGGTCCTCTACAGACTAGCATTGTCTTATACTTGAAGTGATTCAGAGGCCTGCGATGAGACTCTGCCTAGACAGAGATCAAATCACTCCAATCAAGTGACTGCTTAAGAATAAGTCAAAATTATGAAGCTTTAAGGACTCAAGCGTCTGTAGGACTGAATGTTAAAATGGCAGACAGGCAAAAATAGTTTTTTTATTTTTATTTTTTTAACACTTTGATTTGCCTTGACAATCACAAATCCTAGTAATTCCAAATGGAATTAGAACGCTAAGAGAAAAAGTATTACGTGGCTGCCCAGAAGGCCCACCTGTGAATACCTATCAGCAGCTCCATCTCCAATTCATTTCCAGGGAAAGCCCTCAGATTGTGAAATCATTTGGTTCTAAAATGCAACTTAAGGCAGGAGCTTCTCCCTCACAGAACCCATCTATTTTTAGAATACTGAAGTCAGGTGGGACAACCAGGGAGGCTACGGTGACAGTGACCGTGATGCTGTGAGGTTCCTGGAGGCAGCAGATGTCAGCAGTGGGTGGGAGGGAGCTGGGGCTGTCTTGGAAATTACGGGCCCACTCTGGAAATTATGTCATTCTACTTTGGCACGAAGCTTTGGAATGTGCTCTGTTTATGGGAAGAAGTTTATGAAAGAAATACCGAGAGAAAGCATTTGCGGGGGTACAAAGGAGAGACACTTGGATCACACTGCAGGAAAGTTTTAGAACCAAATTATGACAATTTATGGTTCCCTAATGCAAAAACTGACAAGCCAGTCACATTCATCAAAATTCAACCCATTACTTAGGGGCTATTATAAATCACTTGATGTTCCCAGAAAGGATGAAGCCTGTGTGTGGCTGTGGTCAGCAGGAGAGCCAGACTGTAGGGTTTTTACCTTCTCTAGACTACGGAGAAAGGCTCTGAACTAAGTTGTAGAAAAGAAAGCCGTATGTCACTTATGGAGGTGGATGGAGGTGAGAAGTTAGGGAAACACTGGATATATTTCTTTGCTACAATCAATAGGACAGGGAGACCCACGAGGTGTGTGGCATGAGAGAGGGGGTCACTGATGAGGGCTCTCAGGCTTTGAACCCGGGGAACAAGGCAGACAGCACTACATCAGTGAAGTGGGAGGGATGCCTAAGTGAAGGGTGCGCACACACAGGGAGGTAAGCGTTTGGTGTTCCTGAATTTGCGGGCAGGCGGCAATCCGAACGGCAAGGAGAAGTTGAGCACCGTGACTTAGGAGAGAGGTCAGGTTAGAAAAACCAAGTTGTGGTCATCCACAAAGAAGTGATGGTTGAAGCTAACGGAGGAGAAAAAACAATCCTGGAGCAGGTGAGGCAGTGAGAAGTAGACCAGAAGCAAAATCTAAGAGAATGTTTATATTTAAAGACTTTTCAGAAACAACAGTCAGAGAGTTAGATAAATAAATAACCAAGGGGGCAATCAAGTGGAAACGGGGAGAAGATGGTCCATGTCATGACAAGTTATTAAGAGATTCATCCATTGAACACGTATTTCCTGACTACCCCAGTGTGCCAGGCACTGTGCTAAGGCCTGAAGACGTAACGGCAAGAAAGACACCCACAGAGGCCCCATTCTCCCAAAGTTACACCCAGTGCAGGGTAGACGGTAGGCGATGGGCAGAGAGGGATTCATTAGTGGCATATTCATATAAATAAATATAAAAATACTGTATAGCCAGTGTTATGAACAATGGAAGCTCTATTGCACTATGCAACTTGGTGGAGCTGAGAGAAGGCAGGGAAAATGACAATGGAGCAGTGATATAAAAAACAGGTAAGAAAAAAATGGGCATTAACTATCTAAGAAAAAGCGAGGAAAACGGTACAACAAGGAGTATGGCAAATATGAAGGCCAGAGCGAGAGAGCGTGTTTAGTATCCATTTATTCAGCAAATATTTATTAGATGCCTAAAATGTGCCACGTGCTGGGGAATTAGAGGTGAACAAGATAGACCAAGTCCCTACCCTCCCAGAGCTTACACCCCAGAGGGGAAAACATGATATATAAGCAGATAAATGAGCAACCTCAGACAGCAGAGAGACTGTTATATGCACACACATGCGCACATACACACACAGGTAACAGTCTCAGATGAAAGAGTCAAGAGTGAGGTGCACAGAGTAGTGGTCAGAAACACCTCTCTCTGAGAAGGAGGCCTGTGAGTGCAGACCTGACTGAAGGACACAGGTCTTGCACCTATCAAGGGGACAATGTGCCAGGTGGAGGGAAAAAGCAAATGCAAAGGCCTTAAGGCAGACCTAAGTGAGAAGGGCCAGACAGCATTTGGTGGAGAGTGATAGGATATGAGGTTGGAGAGAGGCAGTGGCCATATTCAAAAAGGGCCTCACGGGCCATGACGAAGTGTGAATATAATTCTGAGTAGAATGGGAAGCCACTGGAGACGTATGCAAGGCAGTGAAATGACTCAATGTTTTCAAGTACCCATTCTGGTTGCTGGGTGAAGAATGAATTGTTAAGTGGCAAAATGGAAGAAAGAAAACACGCAGAGGGGTGACTGCAGTAATCCGTGGGTGAAGCCTATGGCTAGAACCTGGGAAATATTGAGAAAGTTGGGAAAAGATTTGCAATTCAAAAGGTCACTCAGGCTGGGTGGAGGTAGAGGAGGTGGGTAGATGGAATGCTTAGACTTTGGAGGGGATACATTTAGGGGTAAGGCAAGATCTTCTCCATGGGCTTGTAAACACGTAAGTCGAGAAGTTCATTAGAGATGAGGTGGGCCAAGAACCACGATGAGGTGACTGGAGGATTGTCCTTGTGGATATCAAAGTCACCCAGGGTGATGGCAGGCTTGGAGTGGAAGAAGACCCTGGCCATGTGTTGAATAAATAAACTGGGGGAATGTCACAACAAGGGGAGGAGGAGGAGATTCAAATGGTACAGCCTGAGAGGAGCAGGGTTTTCAGAAAAGGGTGAAGGAGTTCAGTTCTGGAAGAGACAGAGTAGGGGCGACAACAGCCTTTATCAACCCTACCACTGGCCTTGAGGATTGCCAGATGTGAAAAAAATAAAGTGACCACGTAGAGGGCTGTGGGTGAAGGGTGATCTCAAAAGAGCGCCAGGTTTCAGTTTGGCTAAGGGAGGGAAGGCAGTGATGTTCTTAGAAAAAGGCTGAAATCCTGAGGGATGATGACCGAGAGAAAGGCTATTTGATTTAGCAATTAAGAGGTCATGAAGACTAAATCTGAAAGGAAGGGAAAGGAAGGTTATTCCAAGTTTAGATGGTGTTGTACATTCTTAATGATAATTTATTTGAAAAGACATCCTTCTCTCCTCTAGAATCACTAAATGGTTTTTAAAAGAGCCTTGAGGATTTAAATAGCAATGAAACCAGGGAAACAATTTCTTTTAGGTTTTCAAGGTGACATTCTTTACTCAACAAAAACCACTGTGAGCACCTACTATGTTCCTGGCACTTCCTTAAAAAAGGTCAAGAATTTCAAGAGCCTACTTGCAGTAAGGACACAATGTGGTCCTCTGTTTGCTATTAAGTATACATAAAACAGTCTCAAGAATGGAAAGAAGAAAGCTTTAGTACATACTTATTACTGGATTTCAACAAGCTCTTTGATGTGTAACTAGCAAAGAGTACTGGAATGTATAATGAAAGCCAACATTTCTAGAAATCACAGAAACGTGAGGCTCAAAGGGCTATTATCTTCCTATCCAATTAAATGCATCAACACACATTAAGTACCTACTATGTACTCTGATACAAATATTATTCTGTTGTTGTTGTTGTGTGCCGCTGAGTCGATTCTGACTCATAATGATCCTACAGGAAAAAGCAGAACTGCCTCATAGGGTTTCCAAGGAGCGGCTGATGGATTCGAACTGCCGACCTTTTGGTTAAGCAGCCCGAGCTCTTAACCATACAAAACCAGGTAAGGCACTGGTCTTGTCCACACGTGGTTTCTAATTCATTAAGTATGATAAGAAAAGTACAGAAGCGACTATAATAACAAGTGGAAGATGAGAAGTATAAGGTTCTGCAGTGGTTCAAAACGGAAAGACAAAACTTCCGTTTCACGAGAGTCATGGTACTAAAGATTGGTTTTAAAGAACAAAAGGGCTTCACCATGGAGGGAGAGAGATGGAAAAAGCATTCCAGGTGGCAAGAATAGCAAAGAACAAGGGTTACAAAAGGACATACTGAAATGATCTGGGAAATACGTGGGCTGGTTTTAACCCAGGAATTCATTTATTCAACAGGGATTCTACAGTAAGTAGCTGGAGGGGACTGGGCAGAGCAGTCTCACTGAAAGCCACCAGGATATAATGCTGTACACGGAGGGTCTAGAACACCAGCCTTGGATTTCACAGACAGAACTCACTGAAGGATTTCTGGAAGGAAAGTGAAGATGTGACAAAGCCATTAGTGGAAAAAATAATAACTGAATAGCAAAAAATTGGATGAACTGGAGGAATAAGAGACAATTATTCCAATAATTGAGATAAGAGGTAATGGGGAAACTGAAATAGGCAAGGCGAAGGATGATAAGCTAGAAGTAACAGTGAACAGAAGACTCTGTAGAGGAGTTAACTAATAAGATGTGAGGAGGGAGCCAGTAATAACAGTGTTTCTGAGCTCAGGAAACAACAGGTACTAGTGGTTACAAAAATAGGAAAATTGGGAGGAAGACCTAGTCTGGGGAAGTACTTTCTGAATATCATGAGTTTAGGGAGTATATGGAGCCCTGGTGTTACAATGGTTTAGAGCTTGGCTGCTAATCAAAAGGTCAGCAGTTAGAATCCACCAGCTGCTCCTTGGAAACCCTATGTGGCATCTCTACTCTGTCCTATAGGGTCACTATGAGTTGGAATCAACTTGATGGCAATGGATTTAAGGAGCAAATAATATGTTGAAGATGCCTTGCTAACATGCCCACAAAGAACTGTATACACAAGGCTGGAGGGAGAGGGTGTGGGGTGCAGTCTCTCCAACACACACACGCAAATGTACACGTGCACACACATAGCATGTGAAGTCACGAAAAGCTAACAACAGCTCTTCAAAGGACATGGTGCAGAGGAAAGATGACAGCTAAGGAAAATGTTTAAATATGGTTTCAGATATGTTAAATTTACTTTCTAAGAGAACTAGACTTTGAACAATTCAGGCACCTGTGAGTCACTTTCCTTTTAAAACACGTGCACTGGAGTTGTTATTTTATTTGTTTTTTGATGAAAACCCAGCATATTTAAAGATGGTCGGTCCTTGGCCTTCCCACCTTCACTCCATTCACTCTCTCTAAGAGGTCCAGCTCTGTTACATCACGCTCATCTCTTCACTCTCTGTAACACCTTCTCCAAGTTTTCAATGTTCTCACAAGATGGGATTAGACCTTGAATTCACAACTAAAGGTCTGGCTATCGTACTTTATGAAGTATAATAGAAAATTAGGTTCCCAGTACCATATGAGCCCACAAGTAGGTTAGTCAGTCAACAAATATTTTGGTGCATTTACTACATGTCAGGCACTGTTCTCATTTTGAAAACCCCACTTTATTAAAAAAAAAAAAAAATACAAGAGTGAAAGATTTCTAAACTGTGAGCAGCCTGCAGTCCATAAGCCTGAGATCCTTGTTTTTGCCGCATTCACATGTCCTATCCCATAACAGAATTACCAGTACTGCAGTTTTACTGGAATAGTTTTCCACTATTCATGTAAGTCTCATTTAAGTAGCAGGTGAGGGAAAAAGCCCATTTTCAGCTTATGCTGAAATTAAACTATGTTGTCATTCTAATTGCGTACTGAGTGGAACCTTACTAATTCACCTGAATAGATAAGAGGACCTAGTATGGATTATCAAATAAATGCTATTTTATTCATTAGTTTGGTACATGCATTTAATTATAATTTCTGATAATATCTAACAATTCACTTTGTAAAAATAATTAGGACAGAGATGCACAACCGTTGTCTTTCTGGAGGAAAGCTGTGGGGCTGGGGAGAGGAAGGCCTTTAGTTGATGTATTAAGTTTTATGTTTTGAACAAGACAAAGTGTTCTGCACAAGAAAAAACGTCACAATTCTTGTACTTTATGATCTAGGAAGCCATATAATAGTCATAATCATTTCTGCTTTAAAAGCTATATTAAAAGCAGATTATCTCTAAATGTGTAAATAAATGATTGATTATATTTATCCTGCTGCCCTGTTACATAAAGACATACCAATGACAAAAAAACCTGGAATCCAATTTACTCAAACCAACCCTCTTGGGTCATTTCTGCCCCCTAAAATATGCTGTATCTTCTACTGCGTAAGTAGTTGAGAAATTGATTAACACTCGGGAGCAAACTGAAAGGAAGATGCTGCTGCAATTTACTGAGTAGCCACCATGTGCTAAACGAACATGGCACTTCACATATAACATCATATTAACTTCATCCTCAGGCTCTCCTCGTCGGGAGGCACCATTTCTGAAGCTCACAAATTAAGAAACTGTGCACAAAGTCTACTTCCTGGCTGTCAGTCGGGAGACTCAAAATTTAAACTTGGATCGGTCATACTCTAAAACCCACATTCTGTTAACCACACTAACCTCCTTTTGGGATTCCCTGTGGAGTGTTATTTGCCAACTGCGTAAGGTGTGTCTCCATCATTTCCATGAGCAAAATTTCCCAATAATCCTTCAACCTATCAACCCTCCCTAAAGGATCTCAAAAATCTGATCATGCTGAAAGTAAAGACGGGAAGGAAAGGGAATTCAACTCAAGGCTCAGAAGCACCACCTGAATCAGACCAGCCATGATACCTCAGTGATTCAACTGGTCCAAACCTCCAAACCAAGAGAATCATCGCTTCATTAAACACACATCATGTACTTTTGGAGTCCCTGGGTGGTACAAATGGCTAACATGCTCAGCTGTTAACTGAAAGGTTGCTGGTTCAAGTTCACCCAGAGACGCCTCGAAGAAAGGCCTGGTGATCTACTTCTGAAAAATCAGCCAGTGAACACTCTACGGAGTGCAGTTCAACTTTGACACACATGAGGTTGCCATGAGTCAGAGTCGACGACGGCTACCTTTTTTTTTTAAAAAAACATACTTTCATTCTTTTCTCAGGGCAGCCGCTGAGGCAAGAAGCACCACACCTCTTCTGCTTGGCAGTTGTACTATATCTCTGGGTGCAGCTGCTGGTTCAATGAGTAAGTGGTAATTATGTAGTACCTGAAAACCAGAAGGTACCTCTTCCCTCTACCTCCCCCTACACAGTTCATATGGAACTCACTGGTGTTCATGTTATTTGGTTAATCCTCTGACCTTGTTATTTAGTCACTGCTTGAAATAGACTGAACTTTCACCCTCAAATACATGAGAGTACTTGGTCAACAAGACTTGTCAGTCAGTCAACAACTATTTGCAGAATACGCACAGGTACACAGAATTTTATGGTAATTGATATTTATACCTTCAACTCTCAAGGAACCCGAAGTCTAATTTGTCTTATCTCCCTTATTAATCAACCAAATATTTACTGAGCAACTCGGCTATGGAGCCAGCATTGTGTGTGATGCAACAGGAAAGTTTACGGTAGAGTCTGTGGAGAACTAAGCTACAGAAGGAAGAACCAAGAGTCTGATGCATCAGATGAAAGTGAAGAAAGGGTCAAGGTGAGAGCTGATCAACACTGGGGGCGGGGGGTGAGGTGGGGGAGCACATGAGGAGAAACAGGGCACAATGGAAACAAGGGTGGCAAGGTACCTGAGCCTGTAGCTCTGAATAAACAAGCAATGAGGGTCAAAGAAGGGAGAGATAGAGACACATTCATTCATTCACTCAGAAAACACATACATACTGTAAGGTACTGTTCTAGGCACTGGAGCCACTTCTGTGAACTGAACAGCAACAACTTCTACTCTGCCATCACAGAATTTCTATTCAAGCACGGAGAGGCAGACCATGGCTATACATGGGTTTAAAAAAGGTAGGGGAACAGAAAGAATGAGGGGCAGGGAGGGGGAGGGGACACTGCTTTAGATAGGGTTGTCAGGGCAGAACAGTGATAAGGTGACCTCTTAGAAGCAACCTGAGGTGAGACAGTAGGATACTGAAAAAGTGATGCCAGGAGAGGGACCAGTGAGGGCAAATGTCCTGAGGTAGGCAAAGAAAGCCTCTAGGAGAAGGGAGGCTTGAGCTGCTACTGAGGGTCAAATGTGCATAGCAGAGGGCACGTGAGAAAGCACTGACGACTGGGAAGGCCGTACGTGCATGGCATGTACAGTGACAGACAAGATGGGATGCAAACAGTGATGAGAATAAACGTACAAAAATCGAACCAAACCACTGCCTTAGAGTCGATTCCGACTCATGGCGACCTCATGTGTTACAGAGTGGAACTGCTCCATAGGGTTTTCCTGGCTGTCAACTTTATGGAAGCAGATTACACACAGGACTGAAAAAAACAAGGAAGGTCCACAGGGGATGCTTCCCAAAAGAGAGAAGAAGGAAAGCAAGCTGGGATTTTAAAGGAAGGGCGAGCATTATTGTATGCTTACGTCTTCGTGGAGCCCTGGTGGCGCAGTGGGTAAAAACTCGGCTGCTAACCAAAAGGTTGGCAGTTCGAAGCCACCAGCTGCTCCTTGGAAACTCTGTGGGGCAGTAATAATTCTGTCCTATAGGGTCGCTATGAGTCAGAATTGACTCGATGGCAACGGGTTTGGTTTTGGTTTGGTAAGTCTTTGTATCTGGGAATATCAAACCAACCAGCAGAGAGAACAGAGCAGTAATGAAAAGATGCACTGGACTGAAATGAAGGATGTGAAATGAGAAATGGTGGGTAATTAAAATGTGCAAGAAGAGGCTGGAACAACTGGTGCGTTGTGTTCTGCCTTTCATAACTCAAGGGCGTGTGAACACAGAGACTCCAAATGCCCAGCTCAGGGTACAAGAAGCCAACTGAGGAAGCCACCTTTTCTAGAAATAGAACCCAGTATAAGACCATTCTTCTTTCTTTTTTGCATCTGAAGTATGGTGTGTCTTTTCCCACATGCTCAAATTTTGAGCATCCAGAGGTTTGCACATAATAACCAGACTTTTTGGACAAAAGAACTACCCTGAAACCAGTAACAGATGTAGACAAGACCTGACTTCTGCAGATGCTGCTGCAAACTGCATTTCTATACCAGAAGCTCCAGCTTTAACTGTAAATACAAAACCCCTCTCCACTGCCTCTTTTCCTGAGCTATGCGAAAATGAAAGATACTTTGCAAGGATAAAAAATGCAAGCCATGGAACCCCTCAACAGTTATGCCATGCCTCTGTGAAAGGCTACTACCTGTCTAGCAGTGCTCAAAGTCTAAAGGACCAGCCACGGACGAGGGCAAGTCACACAATGTACAAAGGCACAAAGGTACTCACGGTTTTCCTCCTGGAATGCCTGTCAGGTTTGGAGGTATTGCTGGCACACGCATGTGATGGTGTGGGTCAAATCCAACCTGGAATTTTCCCCAAGCAAAACAACAAAAACAAACTTGGTTACGTTAACTTGTTTTGTTCTATTCAGTGTCTTTTCTAAAACCTAGGAGAGTAGATCTTTTAAAAACAAGATTTTTGAGATATTTCAGTAAGTATTAAGGAAATATGGTGTTTAGGATTTAATCAGCATAATTGGGATGGGAGATACATGGAAAAAAATGTATTAATAGTTACTGAAGCTCATGATGGGAACAAAAAAAAGAAAATCTGCTGCCGTAAAGTGGATTCCGACTCATGGCTACCCCATGTGTGACACAGTATAACTGGTTCTACAGGGTTTTCTTGACTGTAATCTTTACAGAAGCAGATCAATAGGCCTTTCTTCCGTGGTGCCTCTGCGTGGGTTCGAACTGCCAACCTTCCAGTTAGTAGTTAAGTGCAAACCATTTTCACCACCCAGGGACCTTAAGGGATTTGTTATGTTCACTATACTATTTGCTCTATTTTTGTAGGTTTAAAATTAAAAAAAAAAGATGAAATATGAAATAAATAATAGACTACTCATCTCACAAAAGAATCTCCTCAATCTTACAAAAGAATGTGGATCTCACAACACAATTATGTATAGCGTGATTTACAAATACACACTGCTTCCTCCATGAACATCTCAAATTCTATACAATATATTCAAAACAATCTGTATGACAACCCTCTCCTCTGAGTTATTGTTCTTGAAAAGCCCACACACATACCACTGGTGATCGGCCATATGCAGCGGCAGCAGCCGCGGCGGCCGCAGCTGCGCTCATCTGCGGGGAGATGTTGTGTAGCCCAGCATAGGCGGCCCCAGGGCTGGTCAGCTCTCCATTCATCCCAGCATGGGGCACGATCCCAAACGGGGTTGGGTATGGACATGGTACTGCCATGGGGGTCCTCAGGCTTGACGCTGTAGGCAAAACAGAAGGAGGAAAGAGAAAAACCAGGAACACAGGAAACACTGAAGTAAAACATCTTTAAAAAAAACCAACCAACCAAACCCGCTGTCATCAAGTCGATTCTGACTCATAGCGACCCTATGGAACAGAGTAGAACTGCCCCATAGGGTTTCCAAGGCTGTAATCTTTATGGAAGCAGACTGCCGCATCTTTCTCCCAAGGAGCGGCTGGTGGGTTCAAACCGCCGACCCTCTGGTTAGTAGCCATAACTCTTAACCACTGGGCTATCAGTGCTCCGAGACATCCTTAAGCATATAAAAAAAAGAAGAACATAACCCATGCTTCAAACAGGCTTAATTTAATACTCTCAAAAGTCATCCCAGCCTTTATGGGGTTGCTTCGTTCGCCTTATTTTATTGAACACTTAGCATGTGCTAGACAGGGCTGGTGCTAAGTGCTTGGCTCAGGTAAAGTAACAGTCTAGCAGTCATTCAACACAAAGGTCACTAGTACTTTTAATGCACTGTAGTCTTTTAATGGCCTTAAATTCTTTACAAACAGAAGTTTAAATATATAGAAAACACATTTTCTTACTAACCCAAGGGGTCAACTCCTGGTGGTTTTCCGGGTACAGGCCTCAGTCCGGGAGTGGAATTACTGCCGGGGGTCGGTGCATCAGTTCGTGGAGTTGGGGTATTGGATTTTGAAACAGGAGTAGTAGATTTTTCATTCTAATAAGAGAGGTAATTGAATGCACCAGCAATTAGAACATTTATTTTTATTTTGGCATTCTGCTGTAGGTGAAAGTTTACAGAGCAAATTAGTTTCTCATTAAACAATTAATACACAATCATTTTGTGACATTGGTTGCCAACCCCACGGTGTGTCAACACTATCCCCCCCAGCCTCCCTGTTTCCATCCGTCCAGTCTTCCTGTCCCTTCCTGCCTTCTTGTCCTTGCTTTTAGTCTTGTATACATGACTGAACTACGAAGCACGTTCCTCACGTGTATTATTGTTTGCCCTATAGACACGTCTGATCTTTGGCTGAACAGTGAACCTTGGGATAGTACATGATTTTAACAATGATGTTAAACAATAAAAAAAACAGAGTAAATAAGAAGAAAAGGGAAAAAGGAAAGAAAGAAGAGAAATTAGCTTAGGTCTTTATTTTCATTAACTTAAAAAAGCTTACTAACTAACAGAGAGAATTCCCTGTGACCACAGAAGCAATGTTCAGGAGGATATGAATCAAAGCTAAGCAGGCAATGAAAACGTTGAGTACATCACTTCTAGAAAACTGGGCTGAGTCAGGTGGAGGCTGACAATCATGACTGCCCAACTATGAGTGACCACCAGCTGGGGGCTGTGGTTTCAGACTGAGTGGTTTGAGTTGAGCTCCTGGTGGATGCATTCATGTCACACGAGGCTTCCTGGTTAGCAGATCTCACTGGAAAAGATCCAAGCTCAATAGTCATAGAGACTTGGGCCCAGAGGAGTTTCTTTTAAAAGAAGTCCAAAGGCCAAGAGAAAACAACAGAAAAAAAAAAACTTAACCCAGCCCTCTTCCAGTCATATCTCCCTAATCTGCAGACAAACTGAGGAATTTTCCTTCCTTTCAGCTGTGAATTCAAAGTTATTTGAAAACTGAATTTGTCTTTTGTGAGGAAAAAAGAAGATGCACTACAAAAATGCAATTAACTACACAGCTACAGAAAAAGAAGGGGGTGTGGGGAGATTATCCTGACTTGCAAGCAGTTCATTTTTGCATTTGTGATTTGTGGTATGATTCAAGATAGACTTTCGTAAATGACAGATTATGTTTTAGATAGGAAGGGAAAATTACTGCAGTCATATATAGCCTGGTAATTCACACAAAGCTAGCAACAAAATCACATCCAAGCCAACCACTAAATTTGCCATAAACCACAGGCGACACAACCATCTCTGTAACCCCAGTGTGTATTTTTTCATCTTCAGCAATACATTTCACTCGATTTCCCTATATCTTTCCTCTGTCCACGCAAAAAGACTCACAAAACAAACACCTATCACCAAGTTAGTAAATCCATTCTGCTCCAAAAATAACTTCTGTAATTAAACTTGAATACCTAACATAGATACATACTGGGAAATAAAAGTCCTACAGAAAAATGTGAAAAACAGAAAGCAAAACAAAACAAAAATCAAAATCAAACCCAACCATCTTGAAACAGGCAACACTGAAAAAGATGGCGCAGAACTGCTTACAAGGCTAAGTTCTTTGGATTTGGAGGAAGGAGTACTGCTGGAAGATGCAATAGAAGCTGGACTAATCGGGGCATCTTTCTTGAGTAGGCGTGTCTTGTCCAGGCCATTCTCTCTCGGGGAATGTGCTGGGCTCCCTCGAGGCGAAGATGGGTCCTACAAAGGAGCACCATGGGTATTAATGCAGCACAGTGCATTCACAATGTTGGAGTAGTTGGGTGTGGCTGTTACTAGCTGAAAGCATTCAATAGCTTAGAAGTGCAAAATGTTCTGGAATAGAGACCAAGATTCACTGAATCACCAAAAAAAAAAAAAAGGTATTGAGACCATAGAAAATACTACAATATTTACAGTACCTATTTAAAATAAAAACCTCACAAATCTGCAAGATTGCTTGTCAGTAAGATCTCTGGGCTGACCACAGATGGTGTACGTTTATGGTGGTAGCAAAAGACACTTGACACTTCGCAGCAAAGAGCAGCAATTTTTTTAAAAAGCATCATTACAATCAGTTAAAAAAAAATTTTTTTCAGGTGAACAAAAAGTGGGAAATTAAGGGAATGTTTTGGATCTAACTGTTTAGACACTAGTCATTCACATGGCTGGGTAAGACCATAAAGTTAAAGTAGCGATAAACATACCTCATTGGAGACGTCAACCACCAAGTTGTCATCGCTCTTCTCACCATCGCTGTCCTGCACCAACAATTAAGAAGCATCATCACCTCCCCCAGCAAAATATATATATATGTTTAGCCAGATCTACCCTAGATAAGTCCAGGCTAATTCCTTATTTCTCAAAAAAAAAAAAAAATTGTACCAAACAGTGCTGAACACTTTCCTATTTTCTTTAATCTTTATAATGATATTATGAGGAAGGCATGATTATTCTATTTCACAGTGAAGAAATTGAAGCTTTTGGCCTGCTTATTACTCCTGAGTAAAGGACGAAAATGGCACACTCAGGCTAAATCCAAACTACAAATGGGCATGATTTGGCCTGTTAGTGTTTTAGAAAACTGAGTAAGTTAGCCACAATTTTTAAGTTGGGAAGTTCTACGTAAAAAATCCAGATTTTCAGCATCTCTAGAAAAATCCTCCAGTCAGGCCATGTTAGAGGCCCAGAGTCCTGCCTGGAACACCAGAGAAGTCAGGCAGGGACCTCTTACCTCCTCCTCATTCCCACCCAGCTGGCTGCTTCATTTGTGTGACCTGCTTGGCCACTCAAGTAAAATGAGCCTCAATCCAAGTTTGGACGTTCTGGATGTCTCTGAGGGTTATATTCCCCGGTACATGTGTACATCCATACATTCAGCTTTTCTGGGATTTTATATTTTTCCTTAACATTTCTACGTGACCACAGAAAATTATACCATCTTGAAACATATGTGGAGAAGCAAATACATCCATAAAAATACTCACCCGGAACACCTAATTCCTTTATTAGCTGCTAGATAACGCGCTCCATTCTCTCTCTCTCTCACATACACATGAGCACCCGCCCATACCCACGCTAGGCTTCAGCTAGCCCATGGAGACATGGCTACAAATACAATATTTTTTTCTCCTAAGGGAATTTGCTAACCTGTATTCTAGTTTAGGTTGGCAATAGTCACAGAGGAAAATGGCTACATGGTAAGAGGCAAGGTGAACTTACATAACGAGCTGCAATTTCCTTTTCTTCAGTTTTCTGCTTTTTGCTATCAGAGGAATAGTCGGTCGAGTTTCTGTGCTTCTCAGCACCTCGGAAACTGGCTGACGGGGATACTGAAGAGCTCTGAAATAGGGAAGCAGAGTTGAGAAATGACCATCTACTTAACACTGTGACTTTAAAACCACTTGAGACTTTTTCTTTTTGTTCTTTAGTACACATCTGCAAAGCTTTTAAGAGAGGAGAGGTGAAAAGAAAGAACAGTATATAGGGAAACATAAGGAGGAAAAACAAGGAGGAGAAAGGGATGGGAAAATTGAAGGAAAAAAGAAAACAAGAAACAGGAAGCAGAGAGATGAAACAGAGAGAACAGTGACATAAAGAGGGAAGCAGAGAACAGTTTAAAACCAAAAGAACAAAACGAGGTTTGTTGGGGGAAAAAAAAACAAAAACCAGTTGCCCTTGAGTAGATTCCGACTCATGGAGACCTCATGTGTGTCAGAACAGAACTGTGCTCCACAGAGTTTTTAATGTCTGATTTTTCAGAAGTAGATCGCCAGGCCTTTCTTCCAAGGCAACTCTGGGTGGATTCAAACCTCCAATAACCTTTCAGTTAGCAGCCGAGCTCTTAACCATTTTTATCACCCAGGGACTCCTTTGGCTTCAAGGGTTTGTTTATATTATACTGTTGAAGCACTTTTAGAAAGTTGGGAAAGAAAGCAAATACAAGAGAAAAGGGGAAGGAAGAAGGGAGCTTTTTTTTTTTTTCTTAAACGTTTGCTGGCTAATCAGAAGCCCAGTATTTCAAGCCTCTGTAGACTACGAAAAAGTTAAGAGTCTTAAAGGGCTGAGTAGCAAACTTCTTCAGCAAGGCACCAGAGCAGGGCTCACAAGTACTGAAATAACCCAACCAGGTGTTAGGAAGGCTTGCTCTTGGTGGGTAGTGTACAGAATACTTACAAAGACAGGCTGTCTAAGAAACAAGGTCCAGGAAGAACAAAGACTACCACCAGTCCCAAATAGACTGAAGTAAATAGTATGTATATATCTTTGCCTGGCATCTAAATCAATCCAGAAAACTGTTTCATAAAGCTTTTTTCCTCAATTATAACTTTACTTATCTCATAAAACTACCTCCTTCTGCTTTTTTTTCGTTTTGCTTTATCTTAGTCTGTTGGTAATAATACTTATAAAGATACACAATATTTACAAAGGCCTTTTAATTAACTATGGGAAGCAGTGTGATATCCAAAACGTCTGGCTCTGTGTTTCATCTCCACTGAACCATAATGCCATATTCCCTTTTGTGGCGAAACTTTCAAAACCAGATGTTAAGAGAAAAATTACAATAGACGTTTTCCATGCCTGGGTCAGTACAGCTACCAAGAGATCACCCCCTAGTGGTCAACTGTTGTGACGACAACTTCACCACCAGCTCCAACAGTGGGGGTGCTTTGTGAAGGCTGAGTGAGGGAGCAAGATGAGAAGGATCAATGAGTGGGGCTGGATATCCCCAAACCCTTCCCTCCTGGGCCAGCCCCTCTCAACAGTATACAAATACTCTGTAAATTATATGTACCAACCCTGTAACTATCCCGAGACTCAATCACTCAACCCTAAGCTTGGTGGCAGAAAAGATGACAGACTTTTCATTCAGTAAGGTCAATTATTAAAACAAAACATTAAGAAGCCAAACAATTTTTAGAACTGGACTACTTCTTGATGTCCTGAGTTCCAGATCTTCATTCCTAAGTCACATACCCGCCTCTCTCTCGCCTTTCTTTTTTTCCCCCAAATTTGAGAGAGTAGTAGACATAGTTTAATGCTTCTGCTTCTCCTTCACACCACAACCCAACGCAATCAGGCTTCTCTATCACTCTACTGAAACCATGCATTCAAACATCATCTGTGAGCTATCAATGACTATATTTAAGACTAGAACCCCATTATCTAATTCTCCCCCATAACTTGGTCTACCGCCCATAACTCCAGGACTCCTACTTCCTCAAGAGACGTATGACCACTTCTCATCCCTCCTTATAAAGGACAGCTCCCAGAGTCCATAAGAACAAAGACCAATGCAGTATGGTCTACAGTATGGCTGTTTAAAAATGCCTTCACTTTGTGCCCCAATCCAGAGCCCAGACCTTGTTTCCTGTATCAGTGCTATCCATGAGCTTCTTGTTCCCCAATACTCTCTGTATTTTCACTGTGTCTGTAGCCTTTTTGCCTGGCTTCTGGGAACGCCCCTTCCTCAGTATCTTTCAAAATTCTCCTCACCCTTTAAAAACCAGCTCAAACGTCACCTTTCCAAGCCCCTTCAGATGCTGTCAGGCAGAATTAATCCCTCACTCCTCTTTTTTTCCTTAACATTTTGTTCACTTAAAGACTAGAGAGCACTCACCATAAATCTATAGCTACTTGTTTACAATGCCACTTCCCACTCCAACGTGTGGGTTCACTGGGGGCAGGGCACCCAGCACAGCAAGTGGCTGAGAAATCCCCAGAAATGTGAAACTCAAATGACTGTGAACCTCCCCTCTGCACTCCTGAATCTTAATGCAAAGTTCAGGGGATACAGTCTTTCAGAGGGCCACCAGGCTGAACAATTCCATGGGAAACAGTAAACAGTTTACTAGGGTAAGATGTGAGTAGGGGAGCCCACTGGATTTATGTAATATGGTGGCTATACCCTTTCACCTGTACTCTTTTACCCACTTCAAAATGCCTTCATCTCACTAATTTGGTATTTTACAGGAAGAAAAAAATGAGCATGCATGTCTATGATTAACAACTATTTGAGTCCTTTGATTCTGATACATTCTGTGGAAAGTTATTTCCATTCTATCCCAAAGGAAAAACTGATTTTTAAACAATGATGAAATACTTTCCTAAAAATTAACACTAAAAGAAAAAAAAACCAAACCCGTTACTGTCAAGTCGATTCTGACTTATAGTGACCCTACAGGACAGAGAAGAACTGCCCAATAGGGTTTCCAAGGAGGAGCTGGTGGATTTGAACTACTGACCTTTTGGTTAGCAGCCGAGCTCTTAACCACTGTGCCACCAGGGCTCCTGACTCTAAATGGTGACACTTAAAATTTTTTTGCTTATTTGTTGGAACACATGCACAATCCAAATAGCTTTATTTTTCTTCAGCTGGCTGTTTCTGGTTTTGTAGGCAGCTTTTTATTTTTGAATTTCACTGTACAACAGTTACATATTGGAGTTTCTAGGTAGAATGGTAAAGTAGTTAATTATCACTAACATTTAAAGGTTAAGCTGTACAATGGGTACTGGGGCAATCAGCAAGGTTCTAATAACATAATTGCTCTGGAATCAAATTGGACTTGGCTTGGATTCTCATTATGAATCTTAGAAGTCCACCATTCTACCACCAAAATGCCACCTGAATCTTTGCTGGGCATGTGATATAGGAAGAATTAAATAAATACTGATAAAGATAAAGTCTTGCTTTTACCAGAACAGCTTATTTTTATGTCTCCATTATTATTTTAAAAGCTCAGTGGGGTTAGATTATTTCCCTAGCTTATGACATATGAAATTTAGCAGAACTGAACCATGATCCTGTATAAATCTACAAATTTAGAAACATTAAACATAAGCCTTTTCTCATTACAGTCTGATCATGTAAATATATCAGCAAATTTGTTATGAACTGAGAGTCACAATCAAAAGCAATGGCCTAGAGAAGGCAAAATACCCTGAATGTTTAGTAAAAAGCTCTGTTTCTCTGGCAACATATGCATTTTTAAAAAGTAAACATTTACACTGGAATATTAAAAAAGAAGGTAGACGTATTTAATGAAAGAAAGGGGGGAATAAATAAGGATAAACCAAATAAAATAAAAAATTTCTAAGTTTTATTTTATGGAAACTCTGGTTGCTTTGGGAGCAAAAGGTAAGTTTTGGATATAATTATTCCCAGCATTACAAATCATGTTCTCATCTAAACTAAGAAAATTCTAGACCCTAGTTTGAAATTCAACTTAGACTACACTAGGGCTACTGAGCACGTCAGCTGGAAAGCTGGCACCTCCCACGACTGGAAAACCCAAGCCTTGCCCCTTCATCTGTAACTCCTCTGCCCACCTCAAGATCAAAGATGGCCAAATATAAGAGTTCTATAAAGTATCCCCCAAAAGGAAGGTAGTGTTGTTATAATTAGCTAATTTTAGTAACAGGTAGCACAGATTTTAAAAGCAGGTAATAGCATTCTCTCTGGAGTCAGACTGCCTAGGTTTGAATTCAGAATCTTCCAATTAATAGCTGTGTAGCCTTAGGGATGTTGCTTAGCCTCTCTAAGCCTCAGCTGTTCTTTGTAGTCTGGGATAACAACCATCACCACATCCCTACAGGGCTGCTCTGAAGACTAAGTGAAATAGTCATCTACCTAAAGTACAAGGCACAGTTCCAGGCAACGGAGCACCGAGTACAAGAGCAATTAGCTACTATACTATTACTACTGTATACGGTTCTCCAGCTGATTCTAGTTACTACAGAGACTGGGATGGTGAGCTGGTGTGGCTCTTCTACTTTAAGGCTCAGAAAAGGATGATTCTAGGTATTTGTGTAGCTCTTCCCCTCAGCATAGATATTCGGATGGTCCATGATAGGGATCAGTGTGCTATTACCCAAAATACATCTCCTTTCAACAATCACAATAAGGCTTTGGGTCAACACTGCACTGAGGCAGGACTATAAACATCACCTCCACAATGGACTTTCTAATTTCATTTCAAAAGCACATCAAGCTAACTCTGCTTTCATTCATACAGGCGCAGTGCTCAGCTGTCCCTACCCATTTCACAAGATTCCAACCAGAAAGAATATGCTACGGTAGAGTGGACAGCCATGATCAAGAACCCTGAAACTCATCTGACATGGCCTGTTTGCTCATTACGGCCTTCAAAAATCCCATCTACCTGGTACCAAAGGGTAAGTCTGTTTTTCAAAAAGATAAAAAGGATAAAAAGGGCACTATAGAAACCTGGTCAGGGTGACTCCAAGTCCTGGTTCGCTCCCGTGTCACACCTGTTGTCAAGCATAGTGATCAACAGTGCTCCCCTTTTACTCTCAAAGAAGTCCAGATTAGATGACAAATC